AAAAAAAAAATCACAGTTTCTCATAAAGCTTGGCCAGTCAGTTGATATGGCTCTAATCTTTCTAGACTGAAATGTTTGACACAATAGCACTGATAGAACTAAAATCAAGTTAATTTATACTTGTGCACCTCTACTAACATTGCCAAGTGTAAGGGATCCAACTAAGCTTCTCTCCGGAATATGAAATGACTTGATGCATGTACATAACATACTAAACAAACAATTAGCTAGCAAATGATCAAACTTTTACAAAGCAAAATATTGAAAAACAAAATAAAAATAGGTCATGAACATGTTAAAGAAATGTTATAAAGAGCTTAAGAAGTTATGTTCAACGTTGCTCAATCAACTACGTAAATGAATAAATTAGTTGTAATTGTGTAAAGTTCAAGTTGGCCATAAATTATGTGATTTGCTTACACCCCTATAAATTCGAAGTAATAATGCAATTGCTCATTTACTGCAAGCAACAAAGCTCTTAAAGAAGAAACGAAATAGAAATTTTGATCACTCCTGACATAGATCATACACAATAATTTGAACTCAAACTTTGTTCATGTATATTGCAAGTAGCAGAGTTCTTGAAACAAGAAATGAAACACTATATTTAATGAGCATAAGAAATGAAACAAAATCATGTGCGTTCTCAACTGGCCAAGCACGAAAATAGATAAAATAGCAAATATATATATGGTATTTAGCAAATTTCAAAAGTCAAAACTGCAAAAACTTATAGAAAATCAACTAAATGAAGGAAGAGATAAGAACGGAGTGGCTCCTACGATCAGCATGTATGCAAACAGACAGAACCAAAGATGTCAATAGCACTAAATGATGAGTTAAAAATTCATTAATTATATTATGGTTGTATAACATAGAAATTTTCTATAAGCCAATAATTTAATGCACTGAGAAACATGACATGAATATTCAACAAAATAATAAATAATAAAAAACATAATTCACAACGAAGGCCCTGTAAAAATTGCTCCTTCTAAAGTTTTTCTTGGGCAATGTCAGAGGTCGCTTTGAACACGTTTATTGCTCTAAAAAATTGTGTAAAATGGCAATTAGCGTGTTCTGTTGTGAGTTCAAGATATCTGCCCTACCTTACTCTGTCAGTAAAGATGAACAAATTTAACCGGGGCTCCGAAAATAGACATCCGTATAGTAAGAATCCCCAGCAAAGCTTCATCCCGCTCCAGTACTTCCCACAGGCACAAACATTAAAAAGCCTAATTTCTTACTTGAACAAACAATTAGAACCAATAATCGACATACTATAAGACTTAACTAGAGTTCACATACTCTTTTCCTACGAAGTTCATTTAAACCAAAATTTCCTAAAAAATCAAAACCTAACCTCAAACCGACTTTTACTGCTAACAATCATAAACCATATATAAAAGAATGATCTAAATTAAATTTATTATGTAGAACCTACCTTTTCAGGATGGAGATAAACTTGATCTCGAAACAGCAGCACTACCCCGGCCTCATCCAAAACTCTAGCAAACGCCTTCGCCTCCTCCTTATTCCGCGCCACCCCCACACCCTCGCAAGCCTCAAGCAGCTTCGAGTATCCAATCACCTCCTCACTTTCCATTTCAAGCCTTCTCTTGAACGCCTCAACGTTCGCCAGTTTCATCAGCCTCTTTGCTTCAGCAACCGTCATCGATTCCTCATCGCCGCCCCCTCCTACGGCGGAGGAGGCCGAGGAAGAAAGGTGGGCACACGGTCGGGTTGGTCGAGGCTGAGAGTGCTGGTTGGGCCACGGCCACAGGGTGGGTAAGCCTGTTTGAACTCCGGCGATAGATCGCCTGAGAAGACTGGAATTCAGTGGCAATCTCCACATCGTTACTGGGTTTTCGTGTGAGAATTTTGAAGCAGAATTGAGGGAGAAAGAAGTGGAGAAGGGGGCAGATTTGAAGGGCCGAGTGGGGCGACGGGGAGCCCCGTAACGGTCGTCTGTCATGAAAGTTACATAACGGCGTAATGGTTACTAGAAGCTCAAGTTGACCGTCGTTTCTCCGCGTGCTCTGCACCGATTTTTAGATATTTCACATGAAAGGAAATTAGGAGAGGGCATTTATTTGTGTTGGTGTGAAATGATTAATTAAGAGTTTTTAATTTTATTATATTCATTTATTAATAATATTGCTTCTAAATACTTTTAGTTTATATACCTTTTTTACTATAATATGTATTCATTATTGTATAGTCTTCACTTATTTTATATAAATATATGTGTTTTTATTGAGTCTATTATAATTATTTATGATTTTTAACATACCCTTAGATGCACCATAGGTGCATCTAGTTATCAACGATTTTAGTTGATGTTGGTGATCTCTTTTCTTCTAGCTTATGTTGATATGTGTTTAGGAGTGATCAATTTTGGATCTAACTCTCGAACAATTTTCATATCTTTCATCATCTTATTTATCTCCTGATATTTTTGTTTATCCTATCTTTATTTTTATTTTTTTTGACTCACCTAACACTATGCCATTTCAATGGTACTTTTATCACATCTTTTAATCACTCTCAATCTTGATTTTGGCTTCATAATCATTATTAGTTTGACATTTGTGTTGTTTGATATTTTAAACTTTTTTGAAAAATGCACAAACCAACATTTGCATCAACTCATATAATTTCTTTTATGCTTCCAACACATTCAATGCCTAATTGGCAAGATACTTTTAAAATTCCATTGTTTTTGCTATCAATACAACTTCCAAATTGTAAGTCTTCATCTTTACCTAAATAGAAGTAGCTCTCTAGGAAAAGCCAAATCTCCACTCAACTGGCAGTAAATGTCTTGTTCTTATTTTTGGCTAAGCCGCTATGATGATTTTGTCACCTTTAACCTTTGCAAGGCTTGGTGGAGCATCAATATCTTTAAAGTTTTTCTTTTCTTATAAATCTTGTTCAAACATTGATCTCCTGTCAATAATTTCATGAAGTTGTTAAAAAACTCTCAGTTTTGTTGGGATAGAAACTTGAGATTTGATCGATTTACAATCAAAATCACAACATATGAATTCGAGAAATTTGGAACAATAAATTGAACAGAAGTGCACAACAAAAAAATTCAGAAAAAGCACGCTAAGATTTAACGTGGAGAAACCCATGAAAGAGAAAAAATCGTGGAGACATACCACAAAAGAAATTTGTCAATGAAAGGAGAATAATACAAAGTTGCCCCATTAAGATCCACTCTTTACACCACTAAAATTACAACAATTCAGGCTTCTTCGTCTCTTTATTGCACACAAGAAATCACTTGTCTAAATCCACCCTTTTGCCACAGATACCACTCCACACCTATTACTCACTGTCAATAATACACTATGACAATGTTTGATTTTTTTTGTGAAATAAGGGTTTAAATCCCTAACTACTACATACAAACCACTCCTAGTGTCGTAGCACCACTCTCAAGCACTGGCTTTCCTCTCGTTCAAGTTAAACTGATAGAAGATTGGCGCCCCCTTTGGTGCAGGAATTCCAATCGCTCTATTTCTTAACCTGAAAAGAGCAAAAACACAACACAAACTCCATGCACTTGGTGCTTAGGCGCCCTACCTGGTGTATAAGTGCCAATTAGGGAACATGGGCTTCCAATCTTCTAGATTGAAACACTGGGTTTCCTTGTGTAGAAGTTGGAAAACTTTGTGAGCTTCATTTGATATACAAATAGGCTCCACAAATTAATATCACTTAAGAGACTAATTGAACCTCAAAACCTCTCATCTCCATCTGTGTCTTTATCTATACCATATTAATAGTCCTGTGCATAGTGTGGCTCACCTCCGGTCTCAACCTTTTTCGACTCCAGCTGAAGCCAAACATTGCTTCAGCTTCTCAATAATCACCACCTTAGTCAACATATTTGTAGTATTATGAGTTGTATGTATCTTTCCAAGAATAATTGCCCATCTTTTAGAAGAGAATGAATAAATTGATACCCCAGCTGAATGTATTTTATCCTATTATGAAAGCGGAATTCTTTGTAGGATGAATCACTCATATTGTCACTATGAAGCTTTATAATACCTTGCTTGTTGCCTAGTTTTTTTAAAAAATATTGTAGCTAAATTATCTCCTTGCTAGCCTCAATGATAACAATATATTTGGCTTTCATAGTTGAAAATTCATAATTTTTTTGTCGCCTGGAAACTCAACTCACTGATATGTTTCCCAAAGAGAAGATAAATTATATTATGCATCTTCTACCATCTATATGCCCTGTCTGATCTAAATCGATATATATCCTTGTAGATCGTTCCCTATATGTCCAAAATAAAGTGTAATGTTGATTGTTCCCATCAAATATTTAAGAATCCACTTCACAGTTTGATGGTTATAGAAAATGTGATAATATATGTTTTATTTAATTTGTTTTTATGTTAATTTTACACATTTGGAAGATATTTGCGATGTGTTCTGTAGGATTAAAAGTTGTAGATTTATCGGAGCTGAAGAACCAAGAAAAAAGCTGGGATCAATGCCTATGTTCCAGAGTCAAGTGCTTAGGCACCCAAGGAGCTCAAACTCATCCGAAGTACAGAGAAGGCAGGAAGTGGGCATTACAATAACAGTGCATTGGCATTGCAGGCTTAGCACTTAGGTTCTAAATTCAGGTGCATAGGCGCCTAAAGCCATAAAATAACAACTTGAGTAGCTAAAAAGTAGGAGCCAATGACCAGTGTCTAGGCAACACATACTAGCACATAGGCATTAGTTCACATTTTTTGTTGGTTGGAGTGGTTCACTGATGCGAATTCACGGTGGAAGTTTTAAAAGTATACTTTAGTCAACTTCAAGGGAGACTCAAAACATTTTGGAGCGCACTGCAGAGGAGAAGAAGCCAAAGCAACATGATTTTAGTGCAAGTGAGTGAAGTGAGGTAAAAAAAAGAGAGAATTTTGAGTGTGCAATTCTGTTTTGCACTTTAAAATTTTTTATTCAGAGAATAACTAGATATAAGTTTGCGAATCTTTAAGTATATTCATTAGGTTTTATCTTTTAAACTCTTTTCTTTTCAATCTCCTTTTATTGAAATATTGATGTTGTTGTTTAGAAGTATGGTTTGCGAGTAGATTTTTCTTTCTCTTTTAAATTGGTGATGTAGGAATGCTAAGTTTGGATATTTTTAGTTATTTTCATTATAATTTGTATTAGGTGGTGATTTAACCTTCTTTTATTCATTTACATTCATCATGACTAGTTGGGTTGTTAAAACATGTTGTGAACTTCAAGGTTTGGAATAATCCTTATGATAACAACTGTGTTAAACAACATTAATTTTAGAGAATAGGGATATTGCCTCTAGATTATTGTAGTCCTTTAGGAAAAAAAATGGAATCATGTGCTAAACACTTCTTTTAGGGAACTAATCCCGTACGTTCGTTGACTCTTCTTATATGCCCGAGAGGGAATAAAAAGGAGTATTGCTCATGATTGCCACCAAAAATTTGAATCATAAATTCAGCCTTATATTCCAATAGAACCAATTATTAGAAGAACTTTTCAAACAACAGAAAACTCATTTGAAACCCTCACCTTATTAGCTTACGATTATTTTCTTTTGAAAATTATGAGTGGTGACTTTACAAAAATAGTAAAACTTCAAACACTCATGCTAGATTTAAAACTAGTAAACTAAAAGTTATTTTATTTTGGAAATTTGTTTGTTCCTTGTAGATTCGATACACAGATTCTGATTCTTATACTACTTAGATGACATATATACTTGTATGATTTGTCAGTGCTTCACAGCATTTGGTCTGTATCACCACCTCCCAATGATATTTTTCAGAGCACTTGCTGACCCTCATTATATTTGCAATATTTGGACTTGTACATATTATAACATACATTAAACTTTCAATTGCTAAGGCATATAGAGTTCTTCCCATTAGTACTACTTACCTGCTTCAAACTTAAGCAATATTTTCTTAGATAGCTTGAAGTAACTATCCAAGGGGGTATAAATTGGTTTTGCTTCACACATGTTAAACCTATGTAAGAGCTTCTCAACATACTCTATCTGTTATAACTTCAATACACTTGCATTTCTGACTCTGTTGACTCTCATCCCGAGGATCTTATTGGTTATACCTAAATATTACATCTCAAACTCTCTTGATAATTGCTCCTCCAAGCCACTGATTTTCTCCATATCTACTCGTGCAATAAACATGTCATCTGTATACAAAAGAATTAACATATAGCAATTACCAAAGTATTTAATAAAGTAATAGTTGTTTGCATGACACTTCATGTACCCAACTGCCTGACCTGAACTTGTCAAGCATCCTGTACCACTATCTTAGGGCCTACTTCAAGCCATAAAAACTCTTCTTCAACCTATAGACCAAATCTTTTTTCTCTGGAATATTATACTTATACGTTTGCACCATATATAGTCCAGATCTCCATGTAAGAAAATTGTCTATACATCCATTTGCTCCATATTTTAATTTTTCTTTGTTACTAAGCTCAACATAATTATGACAGTTATCATTTTCACTACAGTAAAGAAAATCTTAGTGTAGTCCACTCCTTTCTTCTGCCAAAACACTTTCACGCACGTCTTGTCTTGTAGCGCCTGTTACCATTTAACTCCTCTTTCAGTTGCAAACACTTGTCCCACAGATGAGAAACAATTACTAGTTTTCCTAAATCATAACATCGACTCGTTGATGAATTTGTTGCCATGAATGGGTGGCGACCATTAGCAATTTGCAGCATCCGGTCGGTGGTTGCAGTGATTGACGTTGTTCGACGGTAGTCGACGGAGATTGACGACGTTCGACAGTGGTCGACGAAAATTGGTGGTGATTGACGGTGTTCGACAGTGGTCAACGAAAATTGGTTGTGATCTACGATAGTTGGCAATGATCAATGGAGGTCAGTGATGGTCAACAACGATTGGCGATTATCGGTGGTAGTGGTGATGTACTTTAGCTCTTTCTCGAAGCTTCAAGCTCTTCC